AATATCGGATTTTTCTGAAACAAACGCGACATTTACATGTGAAATACTTCTACTAAGTTTATTAATAAAAGCTTATGAACTCACCAACCTTTGTGTTGACACTTTTCAAACAACTTGTATTCACAGGAAAACACTAATCAGGTTATCAAGTGCTTTTGAGGTTGGGACGTTAAGGCGTCAAACTTTTCACATTTTGACAACATATTGTAATTGATTTGGAAACATGTAATTCATACAAGTGATGTAACTTTTTCAATTATATATATGTTGGTTGTGTTTGCTTAAATTACTATTAAAATTGTGGTTATGATGCTATACATGAAGTCCTCCACCCCCGGACGTTTCCGCCATCCTTGGTTTGGGGGTGTGACAAATTGGGTTACTTGTTTGATGATTAAGCATAATAATTATGTTATTGTGGGTTGAAAACCCTATGCACTCACCAGGTTTCCCAACCTGACACACTCAGTTTATTTATATCACAGGTGTTGATATGAAGTCACATTACCCAGAGAGATTCAGGAGATATAAATCACTAGTGATAATGAATGTAAGTTTTGTTTATGCTTATGTTTATGTATTGCCGATGACATGCCAAATGTTTTAAAATGAATAAAATACGTTTGTTCGTAAATGCTTTGATAACGTATTTATCATGTTTTTCTGTGAAAAAATTCCGCAACATTTTTATTAAAAGAGGTACTCTGATTTTCATAAAGCGTAAACAAAATCGGTCTTTTCTGGCCGTGAAAATGAGGATGTCATAGTTTTTATCAGGGCATTAGTTTAAGCGAACTAGGAATATGAATTTATTTCTAGACTGAAACTTAGAAAGCTAAGCGATGATTGTAAGATGAGGCTCTTCGAATCCTGTGCCCACAACTAATTGCGAGACACTTATGAGATTGTGTTGCAATCCCTCCACATAAGCCACCTTTCTGATGGAAAAGTCTCCATTAGTTATCATTCCATATCCTTTGATTGTTCCATAGGAGTTGTTTCCAAATTTCACCGAACCGCCATCCTTTAGAGACCGAAACTCCCTTAATTCCTCCTTTCTTCCTGTCATGTGACGCGAGCAGCCACTGTCTATATACCATTCATCGTCGAACTGTTCATCACTGATTACCTGCAATTTGAAGCAGATTTAGGAACCCAAAGTTTCTTGGGTCCTGGTGAGTTTTTCACAGAGAAAGGAATTACAGTAGAAGCATCAACAAAATAAGTTCTTTTGACGAGAGTTGTTTGATCTTTTCTTTTGATAGTAAATACCTTGATTTTCGTCTTATCTTCTTTAAATTTTAAGGTATTCTTATTAGTTAGTTTAGTGTTTTTCGTTTGATTCTTAGGTTTAGGGGAGGATCGCTTATGTTGATATTGGAACTTGGAGGATCCATATCTAGAATTGGAACTGAAACCGGTGTTAGAACTGAATCTTGTGTTAGGGTGAACTTGGGACGTTGGCCGAAATCTGGTCTAGAACCGAAACTTGGTTGAAAACCGAAATTTGGTTTAGAACCGAACCTCGGTTGAGAACCGAAAGTCGGTTTAGAACCAAAACTCGGTTGAGAACCGAAAGTCGGTTTAGAACCGAAACTCGGTTGAGAACCGAATCTTGGTTTAGAACCGACACTCGGCTTTTGGTTTTGGGATTTGGAATAATAGGAGTTGGAATCAAAATCTTCCTTTAACTTTTGTTTCCCTTTATCCTTGGATTCTTTCCCAGGAGATTTATAGTTGGGATTTTGAGAATTCCAATGCTGTTTCCGTTCATTTAGATTTAAGGCATATCGCTGATTTCTGAGTCTTTTCTGTTCAGCTAGCTCCTTCTGAGATTTGTGAACATTGAAACTTGACTCGGATTTCTCCTTCATTCTCTTGTCTTCCACTCTGGTTTCGGTGCGTTCCTTAGTTTGAACTGCCGATGCTTCCTGTCTCTTGAGTGGACCTTTCGGTTCTTTTCTTTCGATTGGAGCGTCAGGTTGCATTGAAGGTTCTGCTGGAACATCTTTCGTTCCGCTTGTGCTGGGAATATCGAAACTTGAAGGTTTATTGATGGGTTCTGGTATGTATCGCCCTTTGACTCTCCAAGTGGTTTTCTCAGACAGACCCACAGTCTCATCTGCATTGTCAATTGGAGCAGACCAGAAATAGTCTTCGCATCCTTCAGCATTATCCTCTTCAACTATCGTCCTTAATTCAGTTGTTTGTCTGTGAGTGACTCCAGTCACAGCATAAACTTGGTTTGGTACGGTCTGTACCTTCTGATAAACCACAACCTTTTCTTTGAGTTTCGGTTTCTGTTCCTTTGACAGACGAGCAAACTCAACTGAGTTTTCCGAAATAAGAGGTTTTTCACTCTTGGCTTCATCTTTCACAAACTCAGAACAATCAACAATATCCTCTACTGAGATTTCACTCATTTCACTCTCTGTTTCAAATTCAGATGTATTATCTATTATAATTTTATTTTCCTTGACGATTTTGGCATTTGATTCATCGAATGTTTGTATAGTTTCGGTTTTAATATTCATCCTATCATTTTCATCTAAGGTATCTCTTAACATACTTTTATGTTCCTTAGAATCGATGAAAGTTTCTATTTTATCTAAACCTAGCCTATATGACATGGATGAAACTTCTGATTCACATTTTGCTATAACATCATCTTCCTTAAATTCAAGAAAGGGCAAAATCATTTTATGTATTTTCTTTCCAATTTCACAGTTAAGATGCAATTGAGCAATATTAGTATAAAGACGCTTAGCAATTAAACAGAAAAAATTTCTTTGTTTTAATAATTTTAAATTGTCTCTTTGCAAATAAATACTCTCATCGTTAGCCCTAACTAACTCCGCTTCCTTCTGCTCAATCCAGATCCTTCTCTCCTCACTTTTTGAAGACACCCTTCCGAGTTGGTCAGTTAGGTTAGAGTTTGCTAAGCGGGTTTGCATGAGGCTGCTACTTAGGTTGTTAAATTTAAAGTTTAGTTCATTTAATTCTTCTAGATATTCAGTTTTGGAAATTTTAAGAGATTCAAGGAGAGAATGTACCTTTTTGATCAATCGATCGCAGTCGTTGATCTTCTCACTCACTGGCTTGGCTGCAAAACACTTGTTCTCAGTCATGTTCGGTTCTGTGTCTGCACTTTCGGTTGATGGTCCACAGTGACTATCAGGCATTTTCCACCAGAACCTCCAGCCTTTCCGTGCGTGGGTCTTCTAACCTCTTCATCTTCAGAATCAGTTGACCAGACTTCTACGCCGCCAAACTCGTCTTCCCCTGCATCTTCTTGTACAATTAGAGCATTCATGGAGCTGTTGGAAGCCTTCTTCTTTTTGACTTCTTCAAGTTTTCGCATATATACGCTTCATCATCTTCACCCTCTTTCTTCTCAGCCATCTTTCTTAACATGCAATCTTTGGCAAAGTGGTTCTTGCGTGACAGTAATTGCAGTCGTACCAGAGTCTCCCGCAAGTTTGTTTTCTTCCACCTTTTGGGATGAGCCTTTCGGTTCTTCTTTTACCTTCTCGGAACTGTAACTTCCTTGCCAATTTCGGTTCTTATTGGTAGGAAATTTTCTTCTAGCAAATTTCTTTGGATTGGTTATCATCAGAGCATACTCCTCACTTGTAAGATCACATTCTGACATGTCTGACTCTTCCTCTTCTTCAACAGTACTTTTTCCTTTAGAGACAAGAGCCAGTGATCCCATGCAGAGACCACTTTCGCCTCCTTAGTTACAACACTTTCATGTGACTTCAGTATGCCAACTAGTTTCGCTAGAGAGTAGGATTTAAATGTTCATGTGCCTTCACAGTGGAAACCACAGCCATCCATTCTGGTCTGAGCCCGTTCATGAATGTAACTTTCTGTTCGATACCTTCCTTTCAATTCCATGCTTGATCATCTTACTTAAAAGATGATTGAACCGATCAAAGGTCTGAATGAGCTTCTCTTCAGGTTTCTGTTCAAAAGCTCCGAATTCTGAGAGCAACAGAGTTTGAATAGAATGTTCCAGATCCTCATCAGTTGAGTAGAGTTCCTTCAACCTATCCCAGATTTCCTTAGCAGTTGTGCAAGAGCCTACAAGCCGAAAGGTGTCGAATTGTAAGGCGAATCTTATCATTCGCATGGCTTTGACATTACACAGAATCTTGTCCTTCTCATCTTGCGGCATCTTTTGAACATCTGTTACCAACTTGTTGTAATCTTTCTGTGTCTTGACAATGGTGTTTGCTTCTGAGTGCACAAACGGTCCAAGAACAATAGCTTCCCAGATGAGATAGCCATTATCCTCGGATCCAACCACGTAATCTTCAAAGTGATGAGCCCATACTTCGTAGTCTTGAGTGTAGAGTATGGGTACTCTGGTTGTAGAACCGATGTTGTTTGAGATGTTAATAGGGTTTGAATGCGTATCTTCATGAGACATGGTGAGCTGCTAGAATCTTACCTGTAAACTTAAGATTAGGGTTTTATCAAAAGCGGAGTAATCGTCGTTAAGAAGACGACGGCTTCGATAAAAGCGGAAACCCTAACTATTTGTGAATACAGAAGAAAAGTGTATCAACGAACACAATCTCCTGCTCTGATACCAATTGTTAGAACAAAGTTCTTTCAGGATCGTATGATTCTAAGCAAAAGATTAATAAGAACGTAAATAAGAACACAAGTATTGCGATGAAGATGTCGAATGATTAATGCAAAATACCCCAGAAGAGCTCGATTAAGAACTACAATCTGTAGAGGTATGATTAGGGTTCCAAGAATCAACGTGAATGAATAAAGCTATTATATACGCATACACGCATGCATATATTTATAATAAAACCCTAACAACTAATATAGATAAAGGAAACTATTCTAGATAACTACGGATGGATAAGCCCAATCCGTTTACAAAACAAATAATCCAAGACGCAACACTTAAAATATTCAACACTTATAATATGCTAGATACACCCCAACCACCCTCCTGGTGGCCCACGACGGCGACATCAAAAGTCTTGGGACAACAGCCACCACCTCACGGTGGTGGCGGTGGTTTCTCTCAATTCCCCGACAAGCAGGAAAGCCCACCACGCGAATCCTGAAGCAGAAATCACACACACCTATACGAACTCACAGAAAGCGCACACACACGCATTTACTTGCTTGCAAGTGGTAGCGTACAGTGGCGGTGGTGACACGGAAAGGTGGCAGCAGCACACCCGACTTGCTAGAAGTGAACCCAACCACCCCTTTGGTGGCATCCACCGGCAGGAGAGTAACGAACGACGACCATCGCAACGCCACTCCTTCAATCTCCATTGATGCAGCTTCGTTCCCGTCCCAGTTGGTCTTCAATGTCGCTCGATGGCTTTTAGGTGGTCGGAGAACGTCTTGGTGGATGGCGGCGGTGACCGATGACTAAGAGGAATAACGTGGCGGTTGTTGGGAGAGATGACGGGTTTATATATCCCGTTTCCCCAAACTTGTTTCCATAATGGCAATTTCAGCCCCTCTTTTCCCATTTTCTTTAAAAAATGTGATCCAATATTTACACTTTCAACCCAATCCATGGAGATCCCTTACAATTTATGTCCCATAAATTCTCAAACAACCCCCAATATCTTGATTATGACATAATCAGCCCCTCCACCTCATTTCCTTTTAAATTAAATTCAATCAATTACTACGAAGCCCCTGTCTTTATAAATATTTATAAAATGAGTCCCAAACTCACACTTTTAACCCCCGCCTTCCAAAAATGTGGCAACTAACTCCTCGAACCCAACACACTGCATATATAATTATTTATTTCAGGCTACCATTCGTTCATTAACTTATTTATTTAACTAATAAATAATGAGTGTTACAACTCTCCCCCACTTAAATTAGATTCCGTCCTCGAAATCACTCCTTACTATTTCTTATATGCTAGACCACTTCTAGTAACATGATCACCGTATTGGGCTCACCCTAGCCTTCCCAAGGTAGCTGTGACCAATCTTCGTAAAGCCATAATATCCTCATATGTACGAATTCCTCGCAACAGGATCACATCCACTTTGTCTGAATCTACTATCTCGAGATGGTTTGATTCCCCGACAGACCACTCATACTTTATCATTATCATTGAATCTAGTTCGTGCATCCATCAACATGCTACTCAACTTATTATAGCTTTAGGTTCTTACTATAAAACAGGTTCACAGACCCAATTATCCCTGCAGATCACTTATACTTGGCCAAGGCTCAATTGATCCCGCTGTGAGCGACTTGTCACTTCGCAAATCAACCAGCTATTCCGTCCGTACTTGGAACCTGAAACAAAAATACTAATACTGCCCAAACACTAAAACTTCCCGAATACTGAACTGCCTGAAGCAGTATAAGTTGCTACATAGCTGCTTACCAAAAGCTACCGAGACCTCCTGGGTCTCAATTCGCTTGCCAATCCTCTGAAATACTGGGTTTAGACCCGGCTACGGAGCCAAAGGACTCACTACTTAGTCACCTCACACGACTTCTGAATGAAATCCTTCTACGGAACTAGTTGCCACTAGTTATTATGACACTGTGGCTCTACTACTTTATGATATAACCGGTTGGGTCCATACATCGAATCCTGTCATCTTCAAATGCAAGGCTGAAAGTGATTGCTACCTGACCAATGGTACTCGCATGTCCTGAAGCAGTCCGTTGCTTTTCTGATCTCCCAACTGTAGTGGCGCTCCTACAATCCTATCACTGGCTCAACCAGATCTAATCCATCTGGGTAATTCCGAAATCCAATCTGTGGATTTCCTTATCCTTACTGCTACACCCGAACTGGTGGGTACTACTATTCCATCTGCGTCCTAACAACGCGCTCACACCATCTACTAACCTAGTGAATGTTACGGCTACACCCGCAGTCTCACAACACTTTATCATTATCTGATCGCTAGTGAATGCTACGGCTACCCCCGTAGTCTTACAACACCTTCCATACAATCTGACTACTAGTGAATGCTACGGCTACCCCCGTAGTCTTACAACACTTTCCATACAATCTGATTACTAGTGAATGCTACGGCTACCCCCGTAGTCTTACAACACTTTCCATACCAGGTCGGACACGCACTCGACCTAACACATCATTGAACTAGAGTCCTAACCGGAACTCTAACATGGTTCCCGAAACCTGCTATCATGTGACCCCATTGTATCAGTACCGTACCCATGCCCGTGATCAAAGCGTCACAGTAAACCATAAAATCGTCTACACCCTATTACAGGGTGAGAATCAGTGCCTCGCATAACTGCTGTCTGAGAGTATTGAAGGCTGCTTGCTATTCAGGCCCTCAACGAAAGGCCACTGACTTCTTGGTCAGTCGGATAAAAGGAACCACAATCTTGGAGAAGTCCCATGCAAATCTCCGGTAGCAACCTGCTAGACCAAGAAGCTCCGAATCTCAGATGGAGACCTTGGAATCTCCCAATGCATCACGGCCTCTATCTTGTCCGGATCAACTAGAATACCCTTCTGGTTGACAAGGTGTCCAAGAGATTGCACCCCGCGCAACTAGAACTCACATTTGGAGAACTTTATAAAAAGTCTCTCCCCCACTTAAATTCGACTAAGTCTTCACTGCACGCAAAAATTGAAGGATTTCCAATCCTTCTCGCTTTCTAATATCCCACTGATGACAACTGTGCCTGCCAATGCTAGTATTTAATCACTGATTAAACCTTAAGATCTCACATCGTCGGAAATCTCAATGAGTACTCTTGACATCTGATCCAGTCTGACACCTCGATCCATCTATCATGTTGTCAATTGAAGGTCTCAATCTTCACTCTGGTTGAAAAATCCTCGTTCTCATTTCCAATCTTGCAGTACCACTGAACTCTAACCGAACACAACCCATGCGGAAATACAATTCTCCTGAACATGCGATAACCAACCACTTATGCATCTAACACCCGCAACTGACACTACCCTTTTCATGTCACCAGCTCTGTCCTAGCAACGGTAGTGTCTTGAACTCCAAAGTTCATCCATAGACAATTACCGACCATACCTGAACAATGATAGAACCCCTGAACGCTGACTTCACTGTAGAACTATTACTCTAACCCTAACCGAGGATCTTCCCAAACAATACTCCTGCACAGATCTCAACATAGATCCGAAATGATAACGGTACACGCGGAACCCGCTCCGCAATATGCATCCCTTGTGGGTTCATCAATGACTTTTCGGCTTGCAGGATGGCATATATGATCCTTGATAACCCAAACACTAGCAGGAAACCGACCCGAGATCTAACTTATCCAAACTTACTCATAACTCCAACGCGATACGTATCCCTAACATCCATCAAATAGCAATAGAAGATGACATACCCGCAACACCTGGAGGAATACTAATCACCTTCTACTGACATGACCAACCCCGCTACCCTGTAGTAGCTTAAACCCTCGGAGCGACAAACTCTCTTGTACACTATCCTGTACGTGCTGTACTGACTCTGGCCTTGCTGGCCCTTCACCTGATGATCAGAAATCATGGGTCTCTTCCCGAGACCCCTACTATACACACCTGGCACACACCTCTCTTTCCAGGGTGCTCCCAAATCGATCCCGCATCTGCAACTCTTGGAAATCATATCCTTCAGGGTCTGACACCCTGTCACGCTCACTAACTCGCTTGCTAATGGCTAAGCTGCAACAACTGGAACATCCTCTATCCCCAAACTGGGTCATAAACTCTTCCCTGAAGCTTCTTAGATTCTCCAAGACTCTCACTGATTCGAGTATGGATCCTATGCTTTCAATAGTACGGGCCAATACTACCTTCCACACCTATCCATACTTTCCTCAGCAATCCTACCGAATCCTCCAAGTCACTTCCTCAATCCCAAGTCTCAATCATCCTCGCTACTAACTCACTGAAACATATCCTAGGCTTCCCTAGGTTCCCGAACTCACCCAGTCCTCAACTGCTGAAAGATTCCCAGTAATGGCAACTAGCTACCTTATGAATATAACCACATGCAATAGAGATCAGATAATCCTTCAAGTAACTGACTCATCCCTATAACGGTTAGACTCAAATGAGAGCTGCGCAATAGGGTCAAATCTACCACTCTGAGATTATCCAGCCTGTGCCACATGTGACTTAGCATATTCACTTAATAGCTAACTCACATTACTAAGAGTCCCACAGCAAGCAACATTTTGACAATGGAAAATCTAACCATCATATTCCAATCAATCATTTTATCCTCTAATCAGGAATCTGTACATGCAATTAATAGACTCATACAATCAGGCATAACCTAAACAGGCTATCCTATCATTGACTGATCAGTACTAGCATGCAAGTCTACAAGCACATATAATAGGCATATAAGGCATCCTCCTAGATCCTTAGCCCTAATCTAGCATGCAATTCTCATAATCATATCGTAACATAACATATCATAGCATGTATGGGTATCTTGGGGAAAACTTACTTGAGCTCGGCTGATTGCACGCATCACACACTTTGTTCTTCTCAAAGTTTCTTTCTCTTTTCAGATTCCTTTCAAACTCCTTTTTATAAAATGGTTTTTACTTTTGAAAATTTTCATACCAATCCCTTAGTTTGAGTTCAGACACACTCGAGAGTATGTCCGAATCCCTCAAACCAAGGCTCTGATACCAACTTGTAACATCCCAAAAATACAAGCCAAAAATTTCATTTTTAAATACGTCATTATAATACCAACAGTGTAATAAAACATTCGTAATAGCATGTCATGTCAAAACCCAAGTATAAATAATCAAACGTGTTATCATAAAATAATATCAGAGTGTAATCCCAAAGATCTCATGTGAGGAAAACCATAGTGTGATGCGCTGCGATCAAGCCGACTCATTTCCTTTAAACACGAAGCACATTAAACCAAAACTAAAAACCGTAAGCACGAAGTTTAGTGAGTTCCCCCACTGTACCACATACCATAAAATCACATAACATACATATACTGTCGGGCATATCTGGGTGCCCGACCAACCCCTTCGGTCCTTGCGACCGGATACTACCGAGCATATCTGGGTGCCCGACCTACCCTTCGGTCCTTGCGATCGAATACTACCGGGCATACCTGGGTGCCCGACCTACCATTCGGTCCTTGCGACCGAATACTGCCGGGCATATCTGGGTGCCCGACCTACCCTTCGGTCGTTGCGACCGAATACTCGGGACTATTTCACCCCCTACTAGTACCACATAACACATATCACATAACATCATATCATACTAGCACATAAACATAACACATGTAGTAGCAACCCTAGATGAATATCACGGAGACCATCATCTATCATACAACTCCTACTGGTGGGCCTGCATTGTGGCCGTAGACCCACCGCTACTAGAAGGAAACCCACCTCACACTGCTGCCCGAAGACACAATCCCACACTTACTGAAGTCCCGCAGACTCGACCCCAGCTGCTGGCTGACAGATTCCCAAACTGTCAACACCAAAATAACACCCAATTAATAATTGGGTCCCAACACATAACCATAAATACATACTTGGATAATTACTACATTACCCTAAGATTGGCTTTATCAGGCCCAAGGCCCAAACCATAGACCCAAAGTGAACAAGGAATCAAAGTCCAACATATGGCCCAATTTGGAATTTTCCAAATTGGGCCTAGGCCTATATGTGGTCTTATGGCCCAACATTATACAATCATTAAGGCCCAACTATGACCCATCTATGGCCCAATTTTCCAAATTGAGCCCAACCCCTTATATGGGACTTACCCTAGGCCCATTAAATTATTTTAGCCCATATAATTATTCTTGGATGACCCATTATTCTTGGGACTTACTATAATTAATGTCCCCTGTTCCGATGTTGTTGCTACTATATGTGCAACACTATTTTATGTGCAACTCCAAAAAACATGAAGTAATTTAAGCAATGAACGTTTCTTCATGTGACATTAAACATAGTCCACATTCTCCTTGTTTATAAGGTGGGTCGAACAACATTCTGCTTCTTTTCCTGAAATTAGGTACAAATATAATCATTTGGTCCCTGAATAAAGCATGAACAGAGCCTTTAGAGATTGTAGCTACAAGAATTTCAGGAGTCATATGATAATAAGTATGTCCCTCTTTGGAAACCATAAGACTGAAAATGATCAAAAGGTTGGAAATTAGTATAAACAAATGGAATGAAATGCATTTAAAGAACTGAAGAACATAAAAATTGTATGTATGTTGCTTTTCACCTTGATTGGTTCTGAAACAGAATGAAGCCTAACTAATGTCCCCTGTTTGGATGTTGTTGCTACTATGTGTGCAGCCAATGGTGATCTTTGAGCATTATTAATGAACCATGAATTGAAAATATTTTAGAATTAAGTGCATCAGTGTATATATATCTGGTGATAAAATGCACTTTAAATCTTGAAAGATAATATCTCTAGTGACCATGGGTTTCAAACATGGGTTTCTCAGAAGAATATAATATAAAGCAGACAAACAGGAGTAAAATACACTTTTGGTCCCTGAATAAAGCAAATTTACAAAATTTGGGTCCTTATCCAAGCATTGTAAGGTGACTATTTTTGGTCACCAAGTCCCAATTTTTTTGTCACCTTACTTGGAACAAGTAAAAAACGTTACAAACCCCAAACAAGAACCAAAATTGAAAAAAATTAGTTACACTCAGGGACAAAAATGTAACAATACTCTAAACATACAGACAAATCATTCGTATATTGTTACTTAAATACTGATATTTGATAATAAAAACTATTTATTAAGTAACACAAAATTATCTATTAAAGTATTGACAAAAATTGCAACACCTGATCACATTTCTTTCTTGTACAGATCACCACCAGAAAGAAATCCATACTTTCTAAAAGGTAACAATAAGATGCTTGTTGAAGCATCACAGCTGGATGAAGAGATTCCTGCAAAAAAATGAAGTTTTTTTTAACAAAATTCTCATATAATTATTGTTCTTAACATTTCAACCCACCAAAGACCACACCGTGTGGCATTTCCCGTCCCTGATGAGTGATGTCCCAATTTGCTAAATAAAAGTATATTTTTAAACAAGTAAAAGAATTACCTAAATAACAAAATATCTTTTGTAAAGAATTACCCAGCGAACTAAATGCAATATTCAGAATCTTTTTTGATTGATTTAACATGAAGTATGTTAATCCCATCAATTCCTGAAGACAATAAATGACCACGAGTTTTAGGAACAAACAGGGTCATAGACTCATAGCTGTAGCTACCTGTACACCAACATATCATTTCCATCAAGGCATAATCACCCAACACAACATCCTTTAAACATTAACAGAGTAACTAACAAAGAACATAAAAAGCATGAAGTATTTTCCAGTGTACGATAACAATTAAAATATATGTGATGAAAGATCTTTTTTTCCAGTGTTAGGGGTAAAAATTACATGTTAACCAAAACCAAACATGTCCAGTATAAAATTACAATGGGTTAATAGGTTTGATTATGACGGTATAATCTTTTAATGGAAGTTTTTATACCTTAGCATCTAAACAACATTCAAATTTATGAGGCGATATGGAAAGACTTAATCCCTATTAGACATTTTTCATGTATATTAATATTAAGTAATACGCAAAGTACAATTTGGTTTCTTACCATGGCTTCATTGAAAATGTTCATTTAGCCTCTTTTTTTCTTCTTCAAGATTTCTGGTTGCTCTTGATTGCTCCAGTATTGCAAGAGGGAAAAAATGGTATATGGGTAATTTGTCCTTGTTCTGCTGGAAAATTGCCCAGGGGCATTTTTGTACTTTTGTAGTGAAGTGTGCTGTAATTCCTTTGTCTCATCTAAGAATTGATTTGTAAATAACTTTGTTCTTCTTGGAAACACCATTCCTCTTGAATGAATGAAAATTTAACTTTCTTTAATTTTATCCTAGTTTGATGATCAGTTTAAGAATGTATCAGGGCCTATCATATACTTTGTTATATAATCACACAAGAGGTCTCAATTCTGCCATGTCATCCAAGTTTTCCTATATGAATGAACATACAGTGAAAAGGTTTCCCACATTAAGTAAATAAGAAACAACAGTTTTGTCATGAAGTAATCAACTACAATAAAGAAATCATTATCATGAAATTGATCTGGAAAGAGTATATTTGTGATGCATGCGAATCAGGTTTCCATGGATGAAAATACATTAAGTAAATGACAACCATGATGAAAAGGGAGATGGTTGTCATTTCCCTAAAAAGCAGCAATTCATATGGCAAATAAATCTGTAATCAAAATGGCAGAAATCATAAAGTATGAACTCAAATCAAAGAAGCTCATGTTATTAGAGATGTTTAAGTAATACAAACTTGTGAATCAACATAAGGATTTGAAGTTGCACTAATTAATGGGGGACAAACCAGGGTAAGTGTATCATCATATAAAAGGACAGAGATGTATGTATATAAAGTCCAATACAGGATCCCTGTTGCAATGCTATACAATTTCAGTGAAGAAAGTATAATACAGACAGACAAGTAGACACAAAATGATGTTGCAACTAACTGTAAGGTACCAATTTCAGGAACTAACTTCAATGGAGATGCAGCAGAAGATCTGTCCCCAAAAACGAACATTTGTTACTTAATAGGAAAACATTATAACATGTAATCAATGTTGTGAACCTCTGAATAGAAAATTTTATACAACCTATGCATCTGCATCTCTTAGATGGACCTCTTATTTGTAACCTTATATTCAAAAAAGTCAAGGTTTGGACCAAACCTCGAAAAATATGCATACCACTGGGACCATTTTTGCAGTTTTGTCTAGAGTTTAATGCCATACATGGTTACATTTTGAAAGTATATAATATGCCACAATTAGTATAAGTTTACATTTTAAACTGCAATTACAAAAAAAGCATGTCTTAAGAAGTTGGACTTTGAAAGAATAATATATTAAAAATAGAAAAAAAAATGTTGCATATGGTTTGATTTTAAAAGTATAAAGTTTTAATCAGAAAAGGTAGAGAGGACAATGTTTTCATAAATACATAATTAGATTACAATATCTTAATTAGTTAGTTTTTGAAAGTAAAAATATATAATTGAAGATATAATGTTCCATACAGTTAAATATTAAAACCAATTAAAAGCGTATTCTAATAAGTTAGATTTTGAAAGTACAATAACAAAAGATAAAAGTACAATGTATCAAATACCTGATACATGTTCTTATGCAGTCGGTACAACAATTCATACTTCCAATATAATGTCTTAATAGGTTAGATTATGAGAGTAAAAAGCTACAACTAAAAATATAATATAATAACTGAAAACAAAACAAATGAAGTTTAATTTTTTAAAGTTTAATGCATATATAGTTTATATGTAAAAAAAAAAAGAATGCTATAAAGTGAAGGTATAATGTTATAATGCATATATAGGAATATTTATAGTCTTAATAGAAAAATAATAATAGAAAATTTAATGTCCTAATAGGAAAAATGTATAATGCAATAAATAGTAACAAAAATCAGAAAGGGTAATATTTTAAAAGTACAATATCTTAATAAAAAAGATTTTGAAAGTATAATGATAATGATATACATGAGACCATAATGCCCTAATTGATTGGATTTTGAGAGTAAGAGTCTTAAAACTTAAAAAACAAAATAGAAGTCTTAATAAGAAAAAACAAATGAAAGTAAAATGTTGGATTTCAAAAGTATACATGTTGGATTTTAAAAGTGTAATGTTATACATGGTTAGATCATCAAAGTACAATAACTTTCATATGCTCTTTAGAAGGGAATAAAAATTGTCGAAAAAGTAATGGTAAAACTAAAGGTATAATGCTTAATGTCAAGTAGAATATATTAATAGGAAGAAACTATTGAAAGTATAAAACAAAAGTGAAGAAACCAACCATAGCCTATCAGACAGACATTTTGTATGTATGTAATCAACAAAGTAAGGTTTGGTTTCTTACCTTGGTATCCGCATCATATAATGGTCGGTCATTTTTAGCTTTATTCCAGAGTTGTAGGTGCTCTCAACTGCTCCAGTTAAGTTACTCTTCTATCAAAAAGAGGATTTTGTTCCATGATAATAATTGAAATACATAAATGTGGCAGATTATGTGAGCCTTAATAACAACCCATGAGGGCAATGTTGTTGTTAGCTAATATTAACATAAGATTAAAATGGAGTAAACAAACATAACACATTCAAACCATGACTAGATCCATGATTTTGACTAGTAAATGGAAAGCAATTGAAAGAAACTAGAAACACAATAAACATCAGGCCATATTTTATGCTTTATAGAAAGCAATGGATCATATACACAAAAATAGATTTCTTTGAAACAAAACCATCTAAACACACCAGACATAACAAAGATAAATAAAGCACTACACTCAATAAGACTGAAATTATAACGATTAACAAAAACCAATCTTTTTAATGCCTGAAATTTGTCATCTTCTTCATACTTATCAAAAAAAAATTTGTTGCTACAATTCTCATTTTTGAACTAAATGTTGAACATGTTGATGTTGTGGAGTTTTAGGGTAGCAAAAGAGAATAAGGACGGGTTTTTTTTTACCATAAAAAGGGAAATTTGGAAAAACAGAAATGTACTTACCACTCACTTCAAATGTCATCTTTACTTTTTTGCAAGGTTAAGTGAAGATGTTTATGCCCTAATTCAAAACTTGAAGCCACAAATTTCTATTTACCTGCAGAAGATTCCAAACATCAATATATCTCAATTCTCAATTAAAATTTCCATTTCCATTTCAAAGAAGCGAGTAGATGTAATAGTACAACTTCCATACTCATAAGACCAAAGCAATTTTCTTTAGAGTTTTACTTGCTTCCTTTGGCCGTTTATTTGTTATCTTAAGAAGCATCATTCTTCAATTAGTAGGATTGAACGAACATTAAATAAAAAATTGTAATAAAAAAGATCACATTTTGTAGAAAAAATAGAAAAGGAGAGCACATCATCATGTTTATAGTACAAAACTCGCACCACCAATTTTCAACAGCTTCTGGATGGCCAGGGTGACACCTACAATTAAAACCAAAAAAAATACATTACTAAGCTTGGATGTAAAGGAAGATAGAAGAAAATAATGAGTAAATCTTATATGAAATTTGACCTCAAAGAGAAAATGATAAATTTTGAAAATCATATGAATTTTGACAATGTTTTCTCATCACTCCAACTTTCTAGCCAAAATTGATATTTTTGGACAAATTCACCCTTGATGATCAATAAGATTATATTATTATAGTGGCCATAAGTGCTTTACTCAATACTACAGGGACTCAACATACGTTTTTCCAAAAAATAGAAAATCATGGATTTACAGTAACAAAAAGAGCTTGTAGCTACAAGAACTTCAGGAAGCCACAAACATATGGCCCATATTTTCCCTTTGGAAACTAGTATAAACAAATGGAATGAAATGCATTTAAAGAACCAAAGAACATAAATTTGTGTGTATGTTGTTTCTCAAAATAAACCCTAATTAATGCCAATGGTGATCTATGAGCATCTATCTGCATTATTAATGAACCATGAATTCAAAACATTTTGGAATTAAGTGAATCAGTGTAGATATTTGGTGATAAAATGCACTTCAAATCTTGAAAGATAAAACCTGTAGTGACCAACGGTGTTTACACATGAAATCAAACATGAGTTTCTCAAAAGAATATAATATAAAGCACACAAACTTAGAAACAAGAGTAAAATAATCTTTTAGTCCATGAAATAAGGTTCTTGTACCATTTTCGGTCCCTGTTCTAAGTAAAGTGACTATTTTTGGTCAACAATTATAGCTGATTTTTGCAACTTTGGTCCCATTTTTTTTGTCATTTTACTTGAAACAAGTTAAAAAAACGTTACAAACCTCAAACAAGGACTCATAGATAAAAGTACATATCATTTCCATGAAGGCATAATCGCCCAACACAACAGCCTTATTTGGGTTCGATGGAACTAAAACTGTACCTTTAAACATTTACAGAAAAACTAAATAAGAACATAAAAAGCATCATGTGTTTTATAGTGTTAAGGGTAAAAACATACATGTTAACACTTCGATTCTCAGTGGGATCTTCTTTTTCTTTTCTCAACCATAAGTTCTTTTATCTGATTTCTAAAACCTTTTCTTGTTGCAGA